TATATATGACAAGACCAAATCTCCTACCCTCTCTCTAACTGCATATCACCACCTAGAGGGCCAGAAAGATGCACATCCACTAGCATAGTGGGAAAGACTAAACCCTCTCAATTATGTCAGATTATTCCCAGATAGAGAAGTAGAGCAATTCTCTATAGGTAGCTGCAACAGCAGTACTCTGAGCAAAATGGCAGGAGACTCAACTTCAGAGATAGAGGGAAAAGTAGACAACTTATTGTGAGCCAGGAAACTAATTCAACTGGAGATATTCAGAAGCACAGACTAAGAACAAGAATTAATGTTGCAACTCTAGGGGCATTGGGCAATAACCTGAAAGATATGGCTCTGCCCTGCTACATATTGCATATTGGTTTTCTCTCTTCTTGGAAAGTTACATATCAGTGTGAAAATCCTCTGGATTTATCTAAATACTTATTACATTATAAAACTATACATTCTTCTTCAACTTACAAAATTCCTCCTGACTCAACATTGTTTCCTTTATTTCAGATAATACATTTTTCCTCTATTGTTTTATTTTCCTCCTTTTGCCTTGCATTCTCAGATTCTCCCTCGTGGTCGAGTTATATAAAAATGAAAGTTCAATTAATTACTTGCTTTTCAAAAGAAAAAAGAAATCTTTTCTACAAGAACTTACCTCCACAAATTTCCTGTTCTTATTTGGACTGACAGATTTTACATCAAAGGCAACTGATTTGATTAAGTTCCTACTGAGCACACAGCCCCAACTTCCCTAGATAGGCTTCTGAGAAGAAGTACTTTGTAGGCACTTACCTGAGTCATTTGTCTGCTGAATGTTCCTTAGCAGGGAATAAACCACACCCATATTTTCAGTTCCCCCTAGAGGAGAAGACACGAGATCACAGTTGCCATGGCCAATGGCTCAGACTTCACAGATATCTACACGGTCCTTAGTTTCAGTCAAATTCCGAGTAATTAACTGAAACTCTTAAAGGTTAAAAGAAACCTGAATTGTTGTTGTTATGTACCATTGAGTCGCTTGCGACTCATAGAGGCCCTATGTACAAGGTCCCTAAACTCTGCTCTTTAGTGTGCCAATCACACCGTCTCTGACACACCCATCCCGATTACTCCACTCACTGAATCAATCCACCTCATAGGGGGCTTTCCCCTTCTGCACTGTCCCTCCACTCTACCAAGCATGATGTCCCTCTCCAAGGACCGGTCCCTTCTTGCAACATGTACAAA